TCATTTCGGAATTTTTCAGTACTAAAATGAGGACAGTGAAAGAGAAAAAAAAAAAAGATGACAAAAATATCATTACTAAAAAACTATTCCATTATTCCATTCCATTACTTCATTCCATTATTCTATTCCATTATTTTATTCCGTTACATTTTTCCATTATTCTATTCCACTACTCTATCCTATCGCTTTATTCCATAACACTATTAAATTACTAACTTTTAAAATGTTCAAATTAATTAAACAATTACCTATCCATTTAAGAAAGTAAACTTTTAAAAGTTAAAAAAAAATCAACTTATTTATGTCAAAAAAAAAGACTCAGTTCTTTTATTAAATTAATTTTAATAAATTAATTTTAAAACATTATAATTAAATTACTCACAGTAATGTAATTTTAAAGGAATTTAATAAAATGCAAATTTCAAAAAAGAATTAAATAAAAAAAAATTAAATTTCAATATTTTACTTTTTCTATATCTGACGCTACTTTATTCATTAGCCTTTTCAAATTAGCTAAGATTTTTCTTCTTTTTTCTTTTTTTGCAAATTTATTTCATCCTTACAAAGCTAAGGTTTATTTTTATTTTTAAAATTTCATTTGTTAAATTTTATGATTTAATTAATTAAAATATTTTATCGTATATTTCAACAAGATATTTTGTTGGCGATAGTAAAAAAAAAAAAAAGAAAAGAAAAGGTTTTTCCTCAGATTGCGCCTTATGATATTTTAAATGAGGTCAAATATACAAAAAAAACCTCCGGGAAATATATATACAAACACCCGCGGGAATGGAAATCATCGATATGGAAGATGATTACAATTACTGTTTGAAAACTAAAAAAAAAAAATTTTTTTTTTTTGCTAGACAAAATTAATTAAAAATAAATTTGCATTCCTTTACATTATTTATATTTTTTATTCATTAAAAAATGCAAAAATTTATTTCGAATAGAATTTTGAGAAAAAATTTTAAATTTAGGAAAAAAAAATTTGTTTGACAAATACCGTAATTTATAGTTTTTCCAATTTTTGCTACCATTTCAACATTATGGCTTATTAAACAATTTTCATACTTTAAAATTAACATAATTAATGGAATTAGTTTTTGATGCCATTGAATTTGATGTTAAGAATTTAATTTTAATTAATTTTTTTTTGGATGTCAACAATAAATTACTAAAATAATAAAATATATAATTTGAGATTAAAATTTTTGCTTTCTTACAAAATATTTTACAGTTTACTTTTAGTATTATTACAAAAACAGTATAATAATTAAGTTATTGATGATAAGAATGCTAGTCACATGCATAGTTAAATTTATACTTTATTTAACTTGAGGTAAACTAATTTGATTAATTTAAATTTAATTTAATCCAATTTAATTAGCAAAATTAATTATCAATTAAACTTACATTAATTGATGTAGCCGGAAATGTTGGCGTATTATCATTTTCATCGATAACATTAATTATAACATTAATTGCTTCACCTTGTGAATGTTTATCAATGGGTACAGCGATTAAATGATAAGAAGTACGACGTTCATAATCCAATTCACGTAATACACGTATCTCACCACTTATTTCTTCCACTGCCAAATACTACAATGAAAATAATTACTAATATTCAATTCCAATAAATTTAAACTTTTGATGAAATTGTTTCAGAAAAAAACAATTAATGATAAAAATTAATAAAATACAACTCATAAAGTATTATTCATTTAAATTTGATAAAGTATTATTCAAAATGAAGTATTATTCATTTAAATTTGATAAAGTATTATTCAAAATGAAGTATTATTCATTTAAATTCAATAAAGTATTATTCAAAACAAGGTATTATTTATCTAAATTTAATAAAATATTATTCAAAATAGAGCAGTATTTATTCAAATTTATTAAATATTATTTAAAATAAAGCATTTTTCATTTAAATTTAATGGAGCGTTATTCAAAATAAGGTACTATTTATTTAAATTTGATGAAGTATTATTCAAAATAAAGTGTTACACATTTAAATTTAATAAAGTATTATTCAAAATGGAGTAATATTTGTTCAAATTTAATAAAATATTATTTAAAATAATGCATTACTTATTTAAATTTAACAAAATGTTATTTATTTAAATTGAATAAAATATTATTCAAATAAAGTACTATTCAAAACAAAGTATTATTTAATAAAATAAAATATTT